GGGATACGAAATGTCGCCACAGGATTAGTGATCTCGGTTGAACTTCCCAAGTGACGAACGGCAGACGTTGGTGAGCTATGATTATCTTACCGTATACAGGGATGTGCAGGGGTTGAGATTGGTAGAATCTTGAAGTGCACTTAAATCAAGAAGTCCGTCATGGTCTCATTCCTAGAGATAGTAGGAGTGAGCAATGGTACTTCTAAGTTCCGGATAAATGAAAGGCGTCAAAATAGCGACTGAGTCCTTTGATTCATTAGTAACGGCTTCTGTATAAATGCAATATTTCTATTTAACTAGACTAAATTCTAGATTATTAATTACTTTACTCAGCGGTATAGTGAATAATTATGGATATGGATAGATTTGACAGCAGCAAGACACACTGCTTGAAGCCGTCCCAGGGGACTAGTACTGTATTTTCATACCATTTTTTGTTTTTTGTTTTTTTTTCTTTTTTTCCTTACTTGGTGAAAAAACAATGTTACTCGAACCTGAGTAGAGGTGCTGAAAAAATATTGACGTACTTGACAGACAGCAACACCTCGAGGTGACCTTATTATGGGTTGTAAATTGAGATGCGGGTGGGCCGTAATAAACTTTGGAACTCGTCGCCTGGATGCATTAGTGATACTTGATCATATTAGAAAATTAGGAGTATACTGTGCTCTGGATGCACACAGTAACTCAAACCCTGAAAACATGAAGGCGGCACGTGTAGTGCCGCTACCCATTGAAAAAATGGTATAGACGTATCGAGAAAGAGCGTCCTCTTTTAGAGAGTCGTCTTTCCATTTATATTTGTTTATGTAAATATTGAACTGATCGGCTTATCTGACATCGCTTTTGAAGGTTCCTTGCCCTGTATTGAATCGATTCCATGCCATAGTAGTTGATTTCACTCGAACAGACGAAGGGATAGGGAGGGAAAGTGCTGGGGGTATGTTTTTATATGTCTATATGGCATCATAGAGAAAAAAGGAGAATTCAGTTAGAATTCAGTTCAGTTATTCAGTCATCACAGAGAATTCAGTTAGTATTGGAAAGGCTCAGGCCTATATTTGGTGATGTAGCGGGAACGAGTTCTTCTGTTAACACTAGTCTTGCCTATGTATATTAGTTACTAATATATTATTATAAATAGAACAAGTGGAAAGGGTCAGGACGAGGAGGCCATGCGGTCAGGTCGATGTTCCACAGCGACGGAGATGAGCAAGTCGACCCGGCTTTCTCGAACCAGCCATTTTTATATCGGCCTTGTGCGACGTTGCGTAAGAGATTGATGGCGGCACTCATGATGAGGCGGCAGCGAAGCGAGGACTCGACATGAGCAGTGATAGCTAGTGTGATGAAAGAGTATCATGCACACTTACGCAAACCTGATGGCGAAATACCAACATCCATCCAAAAGAAATACGGAAGGATCAAACACCGAGTGAAAAATTTTTCGAAAAATTTTGAACACCTTTTCCGGCATTCTGGAACGCTTCTGAATAGACCTCTATGAGATTTACCCTAAACCCCGTCCATTTTCGTGCAAACTTCGCTTACTTTTGGGACTTGGCCACATTTGTTTTGAAACTTCTGAACACCTTTTCCCGCATCTCAGAATGTTTCTGAATAGAGTTATAAATTTTTGATCTGAGCCCCGCCTACTTCTAAGACTTGACCACTTTTGGTCTATTACAAATTACCACTTTCTTCAAGCATCCCATACCCTTTCTAAATAAAATTGTAAATTTTTGGCCTAAGCTTTGCCCACATTGGTGCCAGCCCTGCCCATTTTTCGGATCCGACTACATTTCTTCCATTACTCTTACCATTTGTTTTTCCCGCGTCCTAGAACTTTTTTAAACAAAGTCATAATTATTTTTAAAAAGTAGCTCCCATTTCAGCGCACGTCCCGCCCATCGTGGGCGGAGCCTCGCTAAGTTTAAGCATGCCCAGCACGCATGGGGCCTTGCTCACTCCTTTTATCTTTTTTTTTTTGGTCCCTAGCTATGAAGAGAGCTATGAACTCATGTGGGATGTACCGCCCCCTGCGAGAGAGCTCCGTCCACCGCCGGTGACTCTCTTTCACTCTATTCGACCCATCCCTCACCTTTGCTCATTTTTTCCGGCGTCTAGACTGTCAGAAGATCGAATAAGAAAGGTTTGCCCAAGATACCGCTTACTCCTGTGCATGTCCCGTCCCCTGTGGGCGGAGCTTCGCTGAGCTCACGCGTGCTCTGGCAGTCTGGTCCTATGCTCAACTCATCCCAAAGTGAGCCCGACCTCTCCACGTGTTCCTTCAGGTAGTATCGAATTTCTGACAGACAGACAGACAGACAGACAGACAGACAGACAGACAGACAGACAGACAGACAGACAGATACGGGCGTCTATACGGGGTGCGCATAAATATGGTAACAACTTTCCGGACGGCCGTAATTCCTTTGCTTGGAGGAATTCTGCAAAACTGCACCTTCCCTTATGTTTATGATATACCTTGGCTAACACATATACTTTGGTAGTCTCAATTCGTCGGATTTCGAAAAACAGTATAGCCTTGAATACATCAACCGTTCCGTCTGTTGACGCATTTGGTGAGTTCTTTTCCGGGATCGCTCCTCGTTTCAGTATTTCCCTCATAACAGTCCCTTGAATCGCGATGCGTAAACAGGTCAACGACAAACCTCGAAGCGGTCGTCTTCTCTAACATACGACCTGTTTTCCGTATAGATTGCTTTGCTGTGCTGCGGAACCTGCAGAAACGCGAGAAAAACGACTGCTGATTTGTTTGTATGTTCTACTCCGATGAGAGGAGTCAACCCCGATTAAATACAAATGTATCCAGGTAGACCTCGAAAGCCTTATAAGCTTCTTGACGAGAAGAAACTGGAGGAGAAAAACAAATGCCGTGCGCTACTTGCGCATGGGATGCGCTTCGACACACTTTTTTCTGACTAAAGGGTGTTCAGCGTGGAAGAAATGTTGAGGTCCCAGAGTCTACGTATATTTCACGCTACAAGTGCTGAAGCCGCTGAAAAGAGTCAGATCGCCTCTCGTAGCCGTTTTTTCTCGTTCATGATGATTTGAGCTAGAATCCCTACCATCAGAGCGGTATCGCAAGTTTTAGACGAAAAAGGACGAAATTCTATCCGAGTCTCTTTAACAAGGGTTTTTAGACGAAAAGATGCAGCTAAGACTCAAGGATTTTTTAGAGGTAGAATTCGGAAACTACGGCGTATCTGCTCACGAATGGGAAAAGATCAGGACTGGTGCTGAGTAAATGTTCGCGACTTTATCCAAGCTTGCAATCCTTCTGAGAATTTCCCGGACCACAATGTGATAGGTCGCGGAATACAGTCCACACTGAAGAGGAAAGCCTGTGCTTCAAAACGGACCACTGTTGCTGCTCCTTAGAAATCATTGGAAAAAGCTAGGGCTGCAGTTTCTCAAGAAACTCTGCGTGCCACCTTCGATGAGTAGCCGAAGCATCTTCCTGCTATAATTAGTGCAGGAGAAGATTTTACGCGATGACCGTGTGTTCGTTCTGTAGATGCGATGCATAGTAGATAACTCACATGAACTCACCATGTATCAATATGAGCTGCTGTTTTTTTCAGCTCAGTTCTTTAGTTACCATATTTATGGCGCACCCTGTATATAGTGAGGCCAATCTGCTGCGCGGTCTGTTGATGTGTCTGTTCGCGTTTGTCGGAAATTCAGAAATTCATAATTCCTTTCCAGCTGAACCTATAGCATTCCAATTTTGTAGGATACAGGCGGAAGGATGGGAAAATTTGTTTCGAGCAAACTCCGCCCTTTGTAGACTCCGCCCTTTGCGGGTTTGCTCGAAACAGCTATTCGTCGGAAGCTCATAGCTCCTGTCTCACTGGACCTAGAGCTTCAAGTGCGGTAGGAGTAGAGGCGCTAATTAAAGGGACAGGATAGGAATACTCATGGTAAGTGGCATGACCAGGCTCCGCCAACGGGGGGCGAAGCTTGCGTCAATACAAGAGGCAGGATTTACAGTAGCGCTCAAAAGTCTTTGGCCAGACGCTTCAACGCTTTTTCTTTCATAACTTTTTTCTTGGTGAAGCAAATCGGATGAAAGGTTGATATGCTTATCTAGAGCATATTTACACTATCCAACACTACTTCATACAGCGCAGCAATATCCAAGTAACTGAGGGAAGGCGTTTGTTGCGGTAGCAAACCTCGCTAAAAGAAAAGTTAGTGATGCCTGCAGTTATTCACATCTGCGTTCGACATTAGCGCTCGCACACTTTAGACATGACAAATAGGAAAGAAGTCCCGGAAGGAGCAATTCCAGTTGATTTTGAGTTAAGCTCTTTGGAATGTGTGGATCATGATCAGATTATTGGTCAACAGAAGAAATATTCACAGTACACCAGTGCTACACATATCGAAATTTCGCATGATTAGATCCAGTAGGAATGGTGTCACGACCAAAAAGTAGGACTGGAGAAGCATTTGGCTTAAAACTTTCGAGCACTAATGTAAATACTTGTGGTATGTGGCATGACCAGACTGCGCCTACGAAGGCGAAGCGTACGTAAAATGAGCGTAAATCTCAGTGAGCTGGCGCAGTCAAGATGAAGAAAAGAGGGAAATGAGTCAATTTACTTGAACATGTATGAGCTGAAGAGAACTCCGCTAATGATACGCGAGGCGTTTACGAAGAGTGTGTTGTGTGTGTGTGGGTGGTGTGCGTGTATCTACCCAAATAATTTTACTCCTATTGTTGATGATGATGGTGAAATCATTCACTCCTGATCTACTGTACCAGAGCGACCAAAGGACGTAGGTGACAGGCCATTTTCATACAAAAAGGATCCGTCTGGTCAAATATTAACCGGAGAGGAGAAAGTTAGAAATCACGATAACCGAAAGCCTATGCTCTGATTGCCGATGACCAGTACGATCATAGGCCCTTTTTCAATAAGATAAGGTTAAATTGATGATAAAATTTAGAATTAAAATTGTCACCTGTATCACCTGTCGTCCCGTTGATCATCGACTTCCTCGAGCGGGCGCCAGTAACGTCTCCACTCGTCCCTGTCACGAGCCAGAGTGGTCCAGTGAATCGTCTTCGCTTCAGGGACACGAGATCCAACATTCTGCTCTTTCAGAGCTCTCGTGAAGAAGTCTGACCATCTTGTTGGCGGAAATCCTAAAGTTTGTTTGATGTCTCGAGCGATAGAGCCAGTAACCGCCCTGGTACAGTGGTCGTCACTATATCGCATAACGTGTCCGGTCCACCTGATCTTCGAATTCTTGACGTAACCAACGGCAATCCTAATCTTTGTTCGATGACGGAGCTCGGAACTCCGGATTTTATTCTGGGTTGTGAGGAAAAATGGAAATTCCGAGCACTACGCTGGCAAATGATCATCCTGCTTTCACAGAGTCCAATTCTCCAAGGCGTACGTCAAAGCAAGAAGGACAGCAGTGTCGAAAGGGTGAGCGCGGAGCCGGATGTTCTATTCTTAAATGCTCTCCACGCGGCGCATTTCCTTCTGCGCAGCTATGGAGCTAGGTCGTTCATTATGTTGACTCCCCGACCTAGATACACATAGTTGGAGCATTCGGAGGTATTCGTTCCGCTTAGCGTGAGGGGAGCATCAGGTATCAATCCGTTTTTCATGAACATCGTCTTCGTTAAGTTCAGTCTCAAGCTGATTTTCCACTGCCAAACTCGGCCAGCATTTGTTCAGCCCGCTCGATGTTCGATGGTATAAGCACGATGTCGTCTGCAAAGCAGAGGTGATGTAGATACCTTCCCTCTCAAGTCTTCCCATTCCAAATGACGCATGATATTCTCGAGAGAGGCACTGAAAAGTTTGGACAAATTGGTATCGCCCTGCCGGACACCGCTCCTCACGCTGATAATGATTTCCTTGTAGAATGGTGATATCTTGGTCACGAAATTGTCGCAGAGTTCACGAGGGGGCCTTATATATTGAGTAAGAACACCCTGGTTCTCAGGGCTTCAATTATCGCTTTTGTTCTTGAAATTGTTAATTTTGCCTCTGCCTCGAGGTTGTTAGGTGGAAATTTTTATTCTGGCCAACGTTTCCATGGACTCATCGTTTTCAAAGGCCTGAAAATGGTTCAAGGCTTGTTGATTGCACAGTACCCCACCAAGCGCCTCCTCCGCTCTAGCGGTTCCGAAGTTCTATCATGAATGCACGAAAAATTCCCGAAATTCAAAAGATGAGCTCACCTTACTTCCACCGCGAAGTGTAGCAGTACGCTACGCAGTTACTGCATTAGTAGCGAATGATTTACTTCGCTGTCCTCACGCAATAATATTATTATTGCGGATCAGCACGTTCGCAGATTATGGAACTGACGCAGTGTTTTATAAATGGCAAGAGATCATTTGTGATTGTCACACACTCATTTCGGCCGTTCATGTCTGGATCTCTAGCTAAAATCCAGGGCGATTCCAACGCTTTCCTCCACGATATTTCCGTCTCGTAAGCCAATATCGTACACCTGATGTTGAAATCATTGTCACCATGTTGTTCCACACTGTGCTTCCCTAGCGGAGTTAACGCATCACTGCGCCGTTCACCACTAAGTTGCTCGTTGATTCGTACTGATAAAGCTCTTCCAGTCCCCCCTATGCAGCTTGAATTACATGCCTCACATTGAATCTGATAAATTACGCCTGCAGAAGCGCAATCTCCATTTTTTCCGTTGAGGCATGTAACGCAACGCTCTGTCAAGCACTGCCTCTCATAGAGTCTGTTCCTCGCAAATTGGCGTTTGATTTATTAGGCGGAATGTTGGCTAGAATAACATCATCGCTCAATTGTGCTCGAACAATACACCGTTGTATTGCAGCAAGTACCTTGCCAGAGATGAATGGTAAACATAGAGGAAGTTTGTTCTGGCGAGAAGTGTTTCTCCTGTCAACGTGGAATCTTTCAGTGTTACAATGCGGTACCGTATAGCCATTCGACCGAGCAATATCTGAAGCTAATCGCCTTGATTCTTCGCATTCGGTCATACCACTGCACTTGCGCGTAGCTGTCCTGTATATATTCCTGATAACAGCGCGTTTAACAGCGGACGGATGCGCAGATGTAGCGTGAATCTTAAAAAAAATGTTCTTCGAACTTCCTTTTCGGTACCACCTAACGTGAACAATCCCGCTGTACACTTTGATTTGAGTGTTTAGATAGGAGAGCCAAACATCTTAAGGTATCTCTCGTGTGAGCCTGATGTACGGTGACTGTTCGTTCATAAACGGAAACACTCATTCATTTCGGACTGTGTTGAAGTCACAATGCAGCAGT